ATAAGGTGTAAATTGGACTAAGATATGGCCGCCGAACAATTTCAAGAGCGTTCGAAAACAGTGAATAATTCTGACAGGAAAGTACTCTGATGAAATAAAAACATTGCAAATCAAAGGACAGAAGTCAGAGAAAAATTTAATTTCGTCAGAAAAACAGGTGAGTAGGGCAATTATCGCAAAACCCTGACTGAATATAATAAGGAACCGATAAGGGTAAAAAGAGAAGTGTGGAGAAGGCATTGCGAGCAGGTAGAATAGACTGCAAAAATGTCACAGCTCCATAACGTTCTCTCAAATTCCCTTACTCTAAAAAAAGTCTGGTAAATACACTTATAATACTGAAGAGACCCTAAAGGACATTTTTAGAGTGCACTTTTCTGAGTCTAAAAAAAACTAATACCACTAGACGGCATCACAGAAACGGTACTATATCATCTTATACAGAGTATTGAGCACGTTATGGAAACCAAAGTGATGTTTTATGCATTTCTTAATATAGAGGGAGCATTCCACAATACCTCCTACAAAGCAATCACAAAGACCATTCGTCTAAAGGGAATAGACGAAAAAAACTCAAAATGAATATATTGCATGCGGAGGAGCTATGTGAAATTTACCACGTTACTTTGGGATACAGTACCAGCACAAGTAGCCAGGGTCAGTCTGAAGTAATTTTATCTCCTCCCTCAAGGAATCTGTTCAAAAATAGGCTGATAACTAGACTCAGCAACACGGATATAATTTCCTGAGCTATATGGATGACCTCGTCATCGTAGCCCTTCCAAATTTAATAGCGCAGTCAGAAATAAAATGCAACAGGAATAAGCCACAATTAAAGTTTAAAATAAACTAATTGACGTTTCAATTTCCACTTCTGAAATCTTTCTCAAAATATACATACATAAGCGAGGTTGCTACAGCCTCTGCCGCTTTCGACCGCCATCGTTCTCCATCCATTCGTCTTCTTTGATGGCTCTATTTCTCATTAGGTGTAGTACATTTTCTTCCCAGGCAACTGAAGGCCATCCCCTTCTTCTTCTTTGTTGTGGTATGTAATTTAAAGCTTTCTTTGGCCATCTATCTTCATTTATTCGCTTTACGTGACCATACCACACTAGTTGTCTCGTTTCAATTCTGTCTACACTGGAATATACAGTATTTGTCCTCCTTCTAATATCTTCATTCCTGATATGATCTTTTTTGGATACATCACACGTTCTCTATAGAAAATCCATTTCTACTACTTCTATTCTTTTTCTGTCTTTTTTCGCGATCTGCCAAACTTCTGCCCCATAAGTCATAATAGGCTCTACCAGGGTTCGATAGATTGTCAATTTTGTTTCTTGTCTAATATCTTTAGACCATAGTAGAGAGTTTAGAATGTTAACCGCTTTTTTTTCCTGCTGCTTCCTGTTTTAGAAGTTTCTTTTGGTAGTGCCTTCTTTAAAAATTATAGAACCGAGATATTTATATTCATTGCATGTTTTTGTGTTTCTAATTACTAACTCTGGATCTTCTTTGTCATCTCCTATTTTAAGATACTCTGTCTTTGACATATTCATATTGAGGCCTTATTTTTCATATTCTTTCTTTAGTTTTCTAAAGATGTAGTCCATGTCTTCTTCATCATTCTGCGAAAAATAAAGTTGTTAGACATTTACCACCGCTTAAGTCTATTCCCATTCCGGATACTTCTTTCCTCCACTGCTCTAGCGATGATTGAATACATATTTTAAATAAGGTCGGAGATAGACAACATCCTTGTTTACGCCCCTTTACTATTGGAAATGATTCAGATATAAAGTTTTTTTCTTTAACGACACTTCTCGCATTTTTGTATATATTTGCGATAGCATTCACATACTCTCTACAGAGAGCTACTTTCGTCAATGTTTGAAACTGTTTTTTCAAAGGTACCTAAGGTATGCCTACTCTAAATCTATATGCACATCTTCCATCCCATATCTTATTTTTACTTTTCACTACATCTCTTTTTACATCTCGATTTAATTTTTGATATATCTTGTAATTTTCCTCCTTTCTCGTTGACATCCATTTCTGATAAGCAGTTTTCTTTTTGTTGACTAACGTTTGCATATTCTCCGACTACCATTCTTGATTTTTTGTTTCATGTTTGTCTGTATTACCCAAAGCTTCACTTGCATCCTCATCAATGCATTTTTTAAGTTGCAGGTATAATTCTTCCGCTGATACATTTTCTCGATCCACATTTTGTAGTTTTGTGGCCAGTCGTAATTTGTAAAGAAATTTCGTTTAAAATTAATGGGAAAACCCCCGTAATTGCCTGTATACCATCGTTTAAAAAAACACAGAAGTTAAAACACTTTACACATGTGTATTGTGGTATAAAAACAAACAAATATTTAAAACTTTATAAAAGTGTCGTCAACATTTAAATTCTGGCAGAAAGTTTTCAATCTGAGCAGATCATCCTCAGTGCCTTGTGTATTTGTTGCTAACAGTAAAATTGTCTATAAGACCTCCATGTATGGATTTACAGTATTCCAAATTTTACATTTAATAATGTTTTGACTCCAGGTCGACTCCAATTTCGTTTAATCTTCTTTTAAGCTTTCTAGGTTATATTTAGGTGATGTTACTTCTTGTCCTTTTTCTATATTCTGTACCTGAGTGTTATTGTTTTTGCGATAGTTAACTATCACGTTGGCTATAACTAAACGATGGTCGGATCCACATTCTGATCCACGGTATACCCTTACGTCAGTTGTTTTCAGTCGGGAAGTTTGACGTAGGATTACATAGTCGATTATCGAGTGCAGATTCCTAGTAGGTTGTATCCATGTAAATTTGTGGATGTCTCTATGTTGAAAAATCCATTATAATTTTGAGACATTGTTTCACAAAAAACTCTAAGAGGCATTCCGTTGTCATTGGTTATTTGTTCTCCATATCTTCCTACGACTCTGTTATGCCGTTTAAATCTCCAAGTATAAAAATTTAACAGTTTTCTTTAATTTCAGAGAGATTTCATTCATCTTGTTGTAGAAATCATCTTTACTTTCGGGATGTCCATCTTCATTTGGAGCATACACTCCGACAATTACGATGTTGTGCCCATTATTTTTTATTTCCAGTATTAGCAGTTGTTCTTTTACTTCAGTCATCGATTTAATATTGTTTTTAAGATTTTTTAAATGACAATGGAGACATCTATCTTAGCTCTGTTATCTTTACTCACTCCACTGTAGATATGTATATATTCTCCTATCTCTTTAGTTCTTTTTCTCCTTTATTTGGTCTCGGTGAGAATACATATATCTATTTTTCTTTCCGCTAATTCTTTGAACACCTCTGCTTGTTTGGATCTAAGTCCTTGTACATTCCATGTAGCCAATATAATTTTCCTTTTCCGTTGCATTAGTCGTCTTTGTTTTGATCCATCTTTTGTATTCCGAGGCTTTTGGTCGAAATATTTAGCATTTATTTGATTTGACAAGGGATGCGATGCTAGCCCATCTCCTCAACCCTTCTCCTTTATCCGGGCTTGGGACCGGCACTCAAGCTACTCAATCCACCCAGCACTTACCGGATGCGGAGTTTCCTTTCTCAAAATACAAACATTATTTAATTAAAAAAAAATTTTGTTTTTTGTTACTAAGTGTAAAAATTCTTCTAATAGTTTAATTTTATCTGGCTTATTTATATTGACATTTCAGACATATCTTTTACATTTTAAAGTAGACAACTTCAAAATGATATTGTCAATGTTACTGAGTTGCGTTCCTGGGACGACTTTATTGTAAGATAGTTTATTCGATTACATGAAATCAACTTTAACTTTAGAATATCCGTCAGAAAAAATCATAGTATGTGAGGTGTCTTTAAAAAGACAACCACATGCCATGATGACAGCAAAATTCTCCTGTTAGTGATTCTATGGTAAATTATGAAACAAAAAACAGGAAAAACTTCATAATACTATCCCTACGTGGTAAGTATTTGGTCCTACATTTAGTTTACCCTCAATAAACACCAAATTCTGATTTTATATGTAGGTTATTTAAAGAACCTAAATGATGTATCCTCGATATGTACCTGACTAACTAATAATGGTATTTTCCTTTTATTAACTTCCTCTTTTAATATGGGTACAGATCCTACTGCATTCTACCGATTAATTTGCCACATAATTGGTCTCATTTAGCATAATTAGAGAGGCTTCTTTGATTTTTCTATTTTTATCATCTGTTTCTTTTAGGATTCTACTTGAATCGTTCCATTAAACCCAATGTTTATTTTCCCATGCGAGTTTGGATCTCGGAAACAGAACTCAACTTACATGAAATTGTGGAAGCTAATATCTTGCCAGAGTCAGTGCCTTCAACGTCTAGAGTAAACTTCTTCTTTCTTCACAGAAACTATATAAAAACTACCAAAAAGTACAAATTAAAAAAATATAAGAAAAAATAAAACAAATAAAAACACAAAACGACAGTTATTCGATTCTTCTTCTTCAGAGTGTTCAATAAAAATACCTTATCATGACAGTGATAACGATATAAATCCAAAGAATGGAGAAAACGACAAAGTGTGTTTGTTTTGTAATCAAGAAAACAAAAACAACGAATTATGATTTCGATGTGACACGTGCTACAAATGGGTTCATTCTGAATACACGGATCCAGTCTTAAAAGAAGCGAAAACCAGAGTATGGGTGTAAGATTTTGTTAGAATTAGAGTTAAAAAAACTGTTAAAAAAAACTTATAACTGTGTAGTATTTTACATAAAATGAATTTCCATCAAGTAACGGTCGAATCCATCAATTGTTTAGTATATTTAATTAAAGGACTTTTCATTTACCTCTTTTGCATGTTTTATGTCAGAATTTATTTTGGCCAAACTAAATTGTATTTCTAAAAATGTCTCCGGAGCTTATACAAATGCTAACATAGGCCAACATATTCACAAAGAGCAAGACAAATGACAGATAGTATTCGGACATATGATTGTGACATTTGACATTGTGAGTTTTATTTTCCAAACAATTAATTGTCTATTTCTTATCTGATTATTCATCAAATTAATTGATTGTTTGATAGTTTTTTAAAATATTTTTAAATCAACAAAATAAATTACTAATTATAGTTATTAGATAATCAAAATGGGGGCCGTCCTGGGTCTTTGTTCAGCAGCACAAGTAAGTAAACAAAAGTTGCTTGTTTAACATTTCAATTTTTATTGCGCGATTAGCATAATTCTGAGTAATGTTTTTCACTATTTCGATTAAATTCAATATTTACATTTACATGTGATGATTTTTTGCGTTATTGTTTTCAGTACTTGAAATGTCAAATATATCATCTGGTCTATTTGTAGTGTAGCTTAGTTATTTAATTTTTTCTCTCTAAAGAGTTATTTATTCCCATAGTAAAATCACTTACAGTGGATTAATTCAGTTCACTAGGTTTCTTAAAATGTTATAGTTTGGTGCAAAAACTAATGACTAATCACCTATTTTTACTCTAGTTACATGTCTGATAATAGTAATATCATTTTTCTTGGATTTGAAGAAAACTTGTTAAAAATTCTTGTTCCAATTAGGTCTTGAGTTTCATCCTACTACCTATTAGGTCATCCTACTTCTGAGCTAGATCTTTACTCTTTAAAAGGTATTGCCTTTTTGAACAGTTGTTCAACAGTATCCTCGGTGGATGGAAAAGCACCTAAAATGAGAAGAGCATGCCTTGTTGCAGGAAATACAATATTAGCTTCCACTGAAGTCATTTTTGAAGGATGAAGATGGAATCCAGCAACAGCAGGTGTATTTTTGAATGAGAATCTAACATTAAGTGATGAACTTAAGGAGTTAAGACTTTGTAGAATGTTCACAAATGATTCTTTAACAGATAGATGTGCTTGTATATTGACAATTTTATAGATGCTGTCTGAGAACTATCTAATGCTTTTGTGTTTCTTAGACCATCTGCGAATTTTCATTATTAAAACAGGTTAAGTAGGTAGTTCATTTCAAAAATTTTAATAAAAACCAGTAACAAAATTTAATTACCATTTACTTATATAATATGTATTATAATATATATAATACTCATCCAGGGTGAGATTTTCAATGTATGTTTGCATTAAGATGGATGGTAGATGATGTTTTTTGTTTTTGGGGGTGTGGAATCTTATGTCACCAAAAGATAAGCAGTAAGTTTTTAATACTTCGGGTTGTTGGAGTGTGGCCCTGTTATGACTTTGTGGATAAGTTCGTACTTTGAAAGTTTATTCTCTAAATTATTGTTGAGATATTTGTAATGTTATGGATTTCACTGGAGGGGAATCACAAGCCTTTGTAGTTAGTTATGTGCAAAGTTTAAGAGTTTTTGTTTCTGAGAGTCCTTTAAGAAGCAGTAGATATTTGATCTGTACTCTATAATGTGTTCAGGGTTTTTATGTTTGTCTGCCAATCCTTCCTGCAAGATCAATCAGTCCTGCTGTTGGGCTGATAGAGAGCCTGTATCCCATTAATTCCAGGTAGAATTGGTCATTGTTCTTACATGTAACTTTGGAGATCATCAGAAGATCCTGGTGATATATAACACACCACCACAACTACATAATTTAATCCTGAACATTTAAGTAGTTAACATAGATTTTGTCTTTTTGATGATTAAAACTTGTATGTGACTTCTGTAACACAATATCAGCACACCACACATCAGCACCAATATCAGTATAGTTCAGTACTGAAGTTCAGTTTTTACTTTCTTAATCTCGTCTACTTGCATCATGTCCGATCTTAACTAATATTATAGTACCACTCAGACAATTTTTTCTTTTTTTAAAATGCCAGTGTAGTTCAGATGGCGACAGACCTAAGACTCTTAGGATCTGAGGATCTTTTTGGTTGGTCAACTATAACAATCACGGAAATTGATGGTAAGAAGGGCAAGGATGTACACTTGCCAGGGTAACACTTAGTAACCTTGAAAAGTCAGCGTCATTTTTTTTTAACTGGTCATTGTCAAATAAGCAAACACCTCCACACACTGGGGCTAATAGACACACCTCTAGTATGTGAACGAGAAGATGAAACTGTCGAGGCATGTCCTATGTGAATGCCTGGAGTTATTGTTAATATGAGAGTATGCGCTCAGTGAATCCTGGCCCGTACTTGCCCACATGAGGGAGATGTCCCCTGGTGATTTGTCCACCTTCCTAGAAATGACTGGATTGACAATAAGCTAAGGATGAGAGAGGTCTACTTTCAAGATCATATTATTTAAAATGTTTTATAGCATATACAAATTGTTTAGTAATTGTGTCAGTATAAGTGACACTGTTAAGAATAAACCATGAGATCTAATTTGGTTATTTTGTTCTCACTGTTACAAGAACCAATTTGTTTTATGTTAAGGGTTAAGGGTTAAACAGAGCTCTTGACTGTAAGTTCAGAATGGAAATAATGAGTTTATTTTAAAAATGTTTTTCCTTATTCCGAAAATATCTTTAAAAATATTGTGTTCATTCTTCATATTACAAACATTTAAATATTTTATTGTTTGATTTAATAAGTTCTCATCTTGCATCATTATTTTTTTTTATTGTGTAGGTCTTAGGTTAATATATAACCTTGAACTAATGTATTACAGGTTTAATAGAAACACATGTATTAACAATCTGTTAGCAACTATATTAAAAATTGGGACACAGTAATTGTGGATGAATAGTATTTATAAAGTAATTTGTGAATGTAACTGATACTAAATCAAAACTAAGACTATTAATTTCTGAATAAATTTCATATATAACACATACGATAACATAACATCCCTACTACAAATAATATATGATTGGTAACTATGCAGATGGCACCGTCATAATGGCTACTCATGTGAATCATTTGCAATCATAGTTTTTCTAGTTGTTCACTGTTACTACACCAAATGCATTTCTAAATTAAATGTTTCATTGCGGCGGTCTTAAACTCTGTGCTGTGTGAAGCAATATGTCTTTTAACTTGACATCATATCTTTTCAACTGGATTCAACTTATGATGGTATGGAAGTAGTCTCAGAATGGCAACATTTTTTGCTTTGCTTATCTAGTCGATTTTAAATTTTGTGCATTCTTCTCTGATTTTACATAACCTTCTTCAAAAAAGATATCATTCTCCAGCAACCATGGCTTAATTTGATCTTTATTAAATGCTTGTGTTGGAATCACTTCTCTCCTCGAATGGTATGAGGCGTTGTCTATTACCACAAAAGTTTTCTCAGGAAGATTAGGAAGCACCTTCCGATTCTTGGGTTTTTTAATGTTTTTTTGTTTGCGAAAGTCGATTTTGTTATATTTTTATATTCATTGAAGGGTTTGTCTTCCTTGTGATCTAGTGCTGAAAGAAAAACTAAAAACCTTGGTAACTAGGATTACCTGTAGTGAAATATCTTTGTGTTTTTAAGACTTGGAATTCCCGTGCGTATTTTTGGTGTATTCAGTTAATCTTTTACATATTTTCGTTCATCATTTATTTATTTATATACGGCATCCATTTACTTACAATTTTTACAAAGTTACATCCTAAAAACAATATATTATTAAAATAGCAATCACAAGTTTTACAAAGTAAAATAACACAAAGTAAGTAACAAAAGTAAATACAAAGTATTAAAATAACAAACACCTCAGAATAATACAAACATAAAGAACAATACAGATGTACAACCAACTTATTGTAAGATACTTTTTAGTTGTTTTTTAAACAAACTAATTTTGGAGTCAAAAATATCTATTTGTCTTGGCAAGCTATTAGCACTCCGGGCCAATTGTGTAGTTGGTTCATTGATACCATAATTAGTGTGGTGAAATGGCAGCGAAAAGATTTCTGATTGTTTGTTGCTTCTACTAGGAACTTTAAGACTAACAAGCGATAAGAGTTGAGGACAGTCTATAAAAGCATTGATAACTTTGTGTAAGAAACATAAATCTAACAATGTCCTCCTTGACTCAAGTGTTGGTAAGTTAAGACTATCTCTTACCCACTGATAGTCGTATTCCTCTCTCCTGTATCCACTCTTATAGGCTGCTAACCTCAAAAATTTATTCTGGACTCTTTCAATCTGTTGAATGTAACAGTGGTATGATGGGGACCATACAACTGATCCAAACTCAAGAATGGGCCTAACGAGACCACAATAAAGTCTTCTAAATGTAAATAAAGACAGATCCACAGATGTGAGTTGGATAAATCCCAGCACTTTCATCGCTCTGTTTGTTACTTGGTTAATGTGGCTTGAGAATGACAGTTTGAGGTCTAACCAAATTCCCAAATCTAATACTTCATTTTTCGAGGCCAATGGCAAGTTATTTATGTAGTAAACAAATGTAATTGGATTTCTTTGCCTCGAGAATGTCATTTTATGACATTTGTTTATATTGAGTGACATTTTGTTTAATGTGCACCAATCATAAAACGATTTAAGATCTTCCTGTAATATAACAGCATCATTCCAGGATTGAATTTTTCTAAACAGTTTTACATCGTCAGCAAATATAAGAACACTACAATTTTTGATTTTTTGTACTAAATCAACCAGAAACAAGCAAAACAAAACAGGGCCACAATGGCAGCCTTGCGGCACGCCTGATGGAACTGTTATTTCAATTGAAGTGTCTCTTCCCAAGTTAACTGTCTGCGTACAGCCACTAACAAATTCTGTAATCCACTGAAGAAGGGGATCCAAAATAACCAAAGCTCTTAGTTTTTGTAAGAGGACCCCATTGTTTACCCGATCAAATGATTTGCAAAAGTCAGTATAGATTGAGTCAAGCTGGCACCCCTCTTCAAAAGCTGTTATATATATATATATATATATATATATATATATATATATATATATATATATATATATATATATATATATATGATTGACATACAAAACCAGGTTGGTATCTGTTGACCTCCCTCTCATAAAGCCAAATTGTTCAGGATTAAAAATGCCTCTATAACTCCATGTCAGTTTCTTACTAACCAAACAGTCAAGCAACTTGGGCAGCTCCGACTGATTACAGACAGCTCGATAGTTTGATATATCGTTCCTTGCACCCGATTTAAAAATCGGCTTTAAAAAACTTTTCTTCCAGAGACTGGGAAAGCTACCAGTACCAAGTGATCTGTTAAAAATAAACAAAATTGGTTTTGTAAGTACACATATACATTTTTTCAGAAAATAGGCTGGGATTCCATCCGGCCCTGCACCTAATCTGTTTTTACAACTTGCAATAGTATCATAGACCTCAGTTGTTGTAGATTTGGCGCGAAATAGTGATAATAATTATTTTGTTTTTGATTATTGAATTTTGCATCTTTGTGTGTCAACTAAGAGTTTTTATTTAGTTTTTTATTTGAGAATTAAAAAAAAATAGTTGTGGAGATGAGGTAAGTTTATTATCCTATAATAAAAGACAGAAAATAAGATTATTTTTTCTAGGAAAAAAACATACAAGGTCGAGCCAGAAAACTCTAATTTTATTAAAAAATTGTTTACTTTTCCCTTCCTTACATCTTCTTATTCAAATTTTATTTATTTAATGCTTTGAGAATATGTAGTAAATATTTGTTAATAAAAGATCTACCTTTTTCTTCACTCCTATCTTTTACTTGGTCTAGTCATTATATTTAAGTAAATGTTTTTATCTTCTTGAAAGTTTAAAAATGGTTAGGATGTTTCGAAAGAAAAATACTAAGGCAAATCTATGGAGCGGTAAATGAAAATGGTGTCTGGAGAAGACGATACAACTTCGAACTCTAAAAAATGGACTAATCAACTTTTTCCAACAGATATGGGTGCTATTGATTAAAGTCATCTGAAACAGGAAAGGATGGTTTTCTTTGAATTGCCAAGTATTATAAGATTGCAAAATGAAAAGTATGGATATAGTACCTACCTAGATTGTCAGATTCCAGTCATGATTCTTAAAAACAGCAACTTGCAAAAAAAAGACTGAGTTATAAATCAATCAGTATCTAGATCATATCAAGGGTGTATCATGAAATACTGAAAATTTTATTGTATTAAATTATTATATTAAATATATTAATATATTTTTTTGTCTTTCGTATAGCTTGCCTGCTGCTGTACTAGCACAGCTTGTTCTTTATGCTGTTCAGCATGTCCATCATGCAGGAATTCTACATCTTCTCGTATAATGTATGCACTGATGCTGTTGATTGCAACTGTGGTGGCTTGTATTACTCTGTCTCCAGGACTGGAAAGCGCTTTACAAAAGGTGGGTATACAAAATTGATCATATCATGACCAATATATAACGTGGTTTTTATCAATTTGTTGATATATAGAAACGTTCTTGTTAAATTTTATAATATATGCAATATTAACCACGATTCCACTTACATACAATAACATTTTAAAAAATGGTATCACACATAATCATTGGTATGTTTATGTGTTTTTTTTATTGTATCTTAATTTTATTTTTGTGTTCAATGTCATTTGCATTAAAAAAATTTTTTTAGGTACCGTTTTGCAAAAACAGTTCTGCTCTGGTTCCTGATTCGGTAGTTTTTGATTGTAAACAAGCTGTGGGATATTTAGCAGTGTATAGAATATGCTTTATTTTAACATGTTTCTTTGCTTTGATGTCGCTTATGATGATCGGTGTAAAAACTTCCAAAGATGCAAGAGCAGGAATTCAAAATGGGTAAGTTTGGCAAAAACCATATTTATATAAATATAATTGTGCAACGGATGAAAGAGATTTAACGAAGAAATCGTAATGATAATAGCAAACTGAATATTGTAGATATGTGTTAATGAAATTAGCTGAGTTATTGTCTCTTTACATTTCAAAACATCAATAATTATTAATGGTCTATCTTAATTTTATTAATTATTAATGACTTTTACGACCAGAAGCGAGGTTCCTACAGCCTCTGCCGCCTCTCGCGTTTCGATCACCATCGTTTTCTGTCCATCCATTCGTCTTCTTTGATGGCTGTATCTCTCATTATGTGTCGTACATTTTCTTCCCAGGCAACTGAAGGCATTCCCCTTCTTCTTTGTTGTGGTATGTAATTTAAAGCTTTCTTTGGCCATCTATCTTCATTCATTCGCTTCACGTGACCATACCACACTAGTTGTCTCGTTTCAATTCTATCTACACTGGAATATACAGTATTTGTCCTCCTTCTAATATCTTCATTCCTGATGTGATCTTTTTTGGATATACCACACGCTCTCCTTAGAAAATCCATTTCTACTACTTCTATTCTTTTTCTATATTTTTTCGTGCTGCCAAACTTCTGCCCCATAAGTCATAATAGGCTCTACCAAGGTTCGATATATTGTCAATTTCGTTTCTTGTTTAATATCTTTAGAGCATAGTAGAGAGTTTAGAATGTTAACCGCTTTTTTTCCCTACTGCGTTCTGTTTTCAATGTCTCTTTTGGTAGTGCCTTCTTTAGATATTATAGATCCGAGATATGTATATTCCTTGCATGTTTTTGTGTTTCTAATTTCTAACTCTGGATCTTTAAGATACTCTGTCTTTGACATATTCATATCGAGGCCCCATTTTTAATATTCTTTCTTTAGTTTTCTAAATATGTAGTCCATGTCTTTCTCATCATTTGCTACGACATTTCTTTTTCATTTCCAGTATCACCAGTTGTTCATTTACTTCAGTCCACGATTTAATATTGTTTTTAAGATTTTTTCGAATGGCAATAGAGACTCCTCTCTTAGCTCTGTTATCTTTACTTACTCCACTGTAGATATGTGTAGGTATATTCTTCTATCTCTTCATTTCCTTTTCCCTTTTTCATGGTGTCTGTGAGAATACATATATATATTTTTCTTTCCGTTAATTCTTTAAATACTTCTGCTTGTTTGGAAGTCCTTGTACATTCAATGTAGCTAATATCATTTTCCTTTTCCGTTGCATTAGTCGTCTTTGTTTTGATCCATCCTTTGTATTACAAGGCTTTTGGTGGAATTTTTTAGTATTTATTTGTTTTGACAAGGGATGAGTTGCTAGCCCATCGCCTCAACCCTTCTCCTTTATCCGGGCTTGGGACCGGCACCGTCATTTACTGAGCTACTTAATCCACCCAGCACTTACCGGAGGCGAAGTTAATTACCATTACGTATGGAATATAATATTGTACAAACCACAAGTCATTGGTGTCAATATCACTCAATTTAAACCAAAAGAAGTTGGTAATCCAACGGTTGTAATTCTACTAAATCCAATGGTTGGTTTAGACCAAAGAGGTATATACCGATGATGCTGCGACCTGCCCAAAGTCCACACCAATCAGTAACTTTTTGAGGATGCATTTTACGCTCTTAGATCTCATCTGAATTGGTATAGTCCAAAATTCGACAATTCTTTTGTTAATGTACCCATTCATCCAAAAATGGGCCTAATGATTTTTCGATTATGATTAAGGTCAGTTTCTAACTGCTCTAGAGCCCATTAATTGAATACACGTAGATTAGAAACAATCCAAAGAAAATTTTAGCTTCCATTAATTTGTTTCATTAAAAAGAAGAACGGAATAAAAAAATATTATAACTTACATTTTGTCCTGTAAAAACACTTTTTACCGACATATTGCAAGTCAGATCTCTGAAGAACAATTAGAAGATTCTACGGAGGTTTCAGATCTAATTCTCAGTTCTTGGTGCCAAGCTGCGAAGTGGCCAGAACTCTACAATTCGATTGCTTAGTTCGAAGTCAAAATGGGAATCCAATGGTACTGGGACAAACTCATTACGTGAGTGGCCAAATGCCAGCGCTAGACTAGCTCACCGCCAGTCCCCGAATCTTTAAGATCTCAACTGGGACTGAATTGAAAAATTCGTCTCCTGCGATGATAATTCACACAACCCTGGAGCTCGAGCCGCATTGGCTCGCGATCTTCTGATTTCCACCTCGCAGTTGATTGGTTGCGCTTAGATTTATTTGGTAAAAGTTTAAACAGACAATTATGCTCATTTGTGAGACGCAAACCAGTAGAAAACCAGAGAAATCCCTGTGGACTTAAGACATTGAAAATAGCAACCTGGAATGTCAGAAGTTTATATGCAAGTGGTAAATTAGCGAACGTACTGCTTGAAATGGAAAACCTCCAAATTGATGTTTTAGGTATAAGTGACGTACAGTGGCCAGGTTCAGGCAAACAAATTACAAATAATGGAACCATGTATTATTCAGGGAACAACGAGGTCAATCATCGTTACGGTGTTGCTATCTTAGTTGCAAAAAAGGTCAATTACTCTGTGATAAGTTTTACTCCTTATTCTGATGGGATCTTATCAATACAACTACAGTCTAAAAAAGGTATAGTAAATTTTATTCAAGTTTATGCTCCTACGGCAGATAAAGATGACGACGATATCGAACTGTTTTACCATGATTTGGAACAAGTCTTAAAATCAATGAAAAAACATCACACTACAATAGTAATGGGCGACTTCAATGCCAAAGTTGGCCAGGGAAGAGTGGATGGATATGTGGGGGAATATGGTCTAGGAAATAGAAATGAACGTGGTGACCGTTTGATACAATTTTGCCAGACGGAAGAATTTGTAATAGCTAATACACTTTTTAAGCTACCAAAAAGAAGGTTGTATACATGGAAATCTCCCGGTGATACAACGAATAGAATAATCCGAAATCAAATTGACTTTGTCCTTATTAGACAAAGATTTCGTAATTCTATACTGTCTGCCAAAACTTACCATGGAGCAGACATCGGTTCAGACCATAACCCCATAGTAGTCACATTACGAACCAAATTAAAACTGGTTAAAAAACCCACACAAAGTAGAATTGATATTAAGAGATTAAGGGAACCACAAACAAAGGAACAAACTGTAAAAACTCTTACTGAAAATATACGTAATGCCCAAGAAATGAATAAAAGTAGCTATAACATTGATCAGAAATGGGAAAATATAAAAGCAGCAATAATTAAAACAGCAAATGAAAACTTAAAACCAAAGAATAGAAAACATAAAGATTGGATGACTGAAGAAATACTACTATTAATGAATGAAAGAAAATCATTCAAAACAAAAAATCCAATTAAATATAATGAAACTGATCGATTAATAAAAAAGAGAATAAAAGAAGCTAAGGAGAGAATGTTACATGAGCAGTGCCAAGAACTAGAAGAAATTGAGAAAAAATATGACTTTTTTAACATGCATAAAAGAATTAGAGAATTAACAGGAATGAGAAAAACACTTCAAACTAGGCAACTAAGAGATGAAAGGGGTGCACTTATAACAGATATAAACCAAAAAATGCAGAGATGGACACAATATATAGCACAACTATTTGAAGACAAAGAGAGAACAGAAGCACCAAAAGAATTTAAGGATGATACTGGGCCTGACATTATACGAGAAGAAATTGAATATGCAATGAAACAAGCTAAAGATGGTAAATCTCCCGGGCCTGATGAAGTTCCTATCGAATTACTTAAAATTGTGAATACTGAATCTATTGATCTTCTTTTGGATCTATTCAATACCATATATAGAACAGGTATAATACCTAAAGAATGGCTCCAATCAACATTCATACTGCTTCCCAAAAAAGCCAATGCAAAGGAGTGCAATGAACATCGCACCATAGCCTTAATGAGTCATGTCTTGAAATTGTTTTTAAAAGTAATTCACAATAGAATACATAAGAAATTAGATGAAGGCATAAGTAATACACAAATGGGATTTAGGAAAGGACTGGGAACACGAGATGAACTGTTTGCAGTAAGTGTTCTTTCGCAGAGATGCTTAGATATTAATCAGGAAGTATATGCCTGTTTCATTGATTTTGAGAAGGCATTTGACAGAGTGCAGCATAATCGACTTAAAGAAATTTTATTAAATGAAAACATAGACAGTAGAGACATTAGAATCATCTGTAAGCTCTATTGGAATCAAACAGCAAAAGTGAAAGTTGAAAACGAACTGACCGAGGATATCCAGATTCGCCGTGGGGTCCGCCAAGGGTGTATTTTATCACCCTTGTTATTCAATTTATACAGTGAAGCCATCTCAGAATTAGCGCTTGCCGAGATCAGTGAGGGCCTTATAATAAACGGTGAGCCACTTAATAACATAAGATATGCTGACGACACCGTCCTTTTGGCAGGAACACTAGAAGAACTGCAACACCTTGCTGAACAACTAAATATATATTGCAACGATTATGGACTAAAAATCAATTTGAAGAAAACCAAGTTCATGGTATTTACAAAAGCACAAAACATCAAAGTTAAGCTAGTACTAGATAATACAGAAATTGAACAAATATCTTCGTACAAATACCTTGGAGCATGGATCACAGAAGATACTGATCAGACAAAAGAAATAAGATGCCGCATTGAAATTGCGCGGTCAACTTTTAATAGAATGAGAAAACTTTTTTGTAATCGCGATATCAATATATCGCTCCGGATAAGAATGCTTCGATGTTATATTTTCTCTACCCTTTTGTATGGAGTTGAAGCTTGGACACTTAAAAAATCCAACATTAAAAACCTATAAGCATTCGAAATGTGGTGTTACCGACGCATTTTGAAAATATCATGGATGGATCGCAAAACAACCGAACAAGTTCTCGAACAACTAGGAAAACAATGCGAAGTTTTAAATTCCATAAAGATCAGGAAATTGGAGCACATCATGAGAGGTGAAAAGTACGAACTACTAAGGAATATAATGCAGGGTAAAATCAAAGGTAGAAGAAGCGTAGGAAGACGTAAAATCTCGTGGCTACGCAATCTCCGTGAGTGGTTTGGATGCAGTTCAATTGAACTATTCAGGCGAGTAACCAATAAAATTATAATTGCCAGAATGATTTCCAATCTCCGATAGGAGTGGAACTTGAAGAAGAAGAAGTGAGACGCAATTCTACAGGGAAAGTGATTTACACAAGGCAATTTCAGCTAAATAAAATAAACATTTAAATGTTGTTTATTCTTGTTCAAAAAGACACTGAAGTATTTTTTTGATGTATCCTCTCCCCTTTCCAACGACACCGCATACGTTGCGACTTTGTGACCATTTTTACTTTAAAAATACTCATTGAAATATATTTATATTGGTTTTAGGTTCTGGGGAATAAAGTATTTATTAGTAATCGGAGGCATCATAGGTGCTTTCTTCATTCCCGAGGGCTCATTTGGATCAGTTTGGATGGTATTCGGCATGATAGGTGGCTTTTTGTTTATACTAATCCAGTTGATTCTAATTATAGACTTCGCTCATTCATGGGCTGAAGCTTGGGTTGGCAATTTTGAAGAAACTGGATCAAAAGGATGGTATGTAGCACTGATTGGGATGACGATGCTTAACTATATCTTGAGTATTACTGGAATAGTATTACTTTATGTATTTTACACTAAGGTAAGAATGTACATGTTTTATATTTTAATATTAGTGTATGATTTTATAATAATAGCTCCACCGTTTTTTTGGAAAAATTAAAATAATGAATTGGTTACCTAATTGCATGGTTTACTATATTAACAATAATCTCATTATGTTGTAATAAACTCAAACAGTTTCAAGTAACTTTATATTCATAATGTCTGTCACCTTCCTTAAAATAATAATAATTTTAAAGTATCTATTTTCGTTTTTCAACAATTGCTTTATCTATTTTTTTTTAATTTTTATTACGGTTTAGTCTTTACTCATTATTTTACTAATTTACAATTAGTGTACCATACAAGTGTACGATCCTCCCAGTGTATATATCATTGACAATGAAGTCTACAGACGATAATAATTCCATTAGTAAAGATCGGATTACTGTCCTCAATTACTTGTCTCCAGTTGGCATTCAGTTATTTTATCTAAATTCCAGCAAATAAAAAATAAAATGAGTCATACGCGTGATTACCTAAGTTTATCGTATCACTTAGCTGTCCCCATGAGTTTTACCAAGAACCTTATCAGTAGTGGAGAATTTATTTTTTATTTAGCGTAAGACATATTAAAAACAATAGAAAACGTTAGATGGTGTATTACAAACGAAAATCTAATATAGTAATATAATCTAGAAGATTTTCGATCGCATTCAGGAATTCCATCTAAGTTTTTTTTTTGTGTTTTCCATATATTACCGTCTTTATCTCTTCTCTTCGTTTTTTTAAATCCTTTTCTGCTTTTGTTCAGTTTCTGGTAACATTTACTTGTCTCCATTGGCTTACTTAGCTCTTTTACTTCTTGAATAGAATATTAACATAATATACAGATATATTAACATAATACATAATACATTAACAGAATAAGATGTAGAAACACCTATGCATCAGTTCGGATTTCGTGTGTTGATATTCTACCACAACAGATCCATAGAAAATCAAATATCCTTACTGCCTTTGAGAAAAATCCATTGCTAGCTGCGTTCTTATATAAATGCAGAATATCGAAGATCGGTACTTTTAAGTAAAACCTAACATAGCGACAGAATAAAGAAAGAAAAAAAGTTGAATGGGCAGTAAAAGAAAGAAAACACAAAAGCCTCTACAGACTAGTCAGTTTGAGACAAAGTATAGAAAAGGTAGACAAGTATTTGTAATTAATCAGATACAATCCTGGTTACTCGAGTTATCCAATAACCGTGAATCTATAAATAGTGAGATGTAACAATTAAATATTTATAGGTGCATTTCCGACATTATACGTTCTTGCTTTATCATAAAAGTACTATGTGGTGTATCCCACAATATTAATATTTTTATTTAATTTACAGGCTCACGATTGCGGATTAAATAAGTTCTTCATTTCAATCAACCTAATCATTTGTCTAATAGTAAGTGTGCTGTCCATTTTGCCTGCTGTTCAAGATAAGTTACCTCGATCTGGACTGTTGCAATCATCTGTAGTGACTGTATATGTTGTCTATCTTACTTGGTCAGCTGTATCAAATTCAAGCAGTAAGTATATATTCTAGACTTTGTATATTATTGTTACAAATACAACCTTGATGAAAAATACTAAATAATGGAAATATTTTTTTTTCTCATTTCTTTATGCAGACCATGTTTTATATTTTCTCTCCAGGTTTGTTTACTTCGTGGTCAACAATAACTATTTATAACTAATAACCATATCTGTTATGACCTCTCTAGCTCTTCTCAATGTGTAAATCTAAATTTTGATAATTTCAGTGTACAGAAATATGTATTTTACCTCGATATATATCATACAGCTTGCACCAGGTATCCCTTAATAAAAGGAACATCATTCACTATCAACTCACCTGGGAAGAATTGGGATATTTAAGTTGGGGTTTTAGTTTTTCTTTGGAATATAATTTCTGCTAAGGATTGGGATTTATTCTCCTACGGTTATCATCTGCAGCTCTAACCGGAACAGACAGGAAAACTCCATCTTTTTTTACTAAGTTGGACATTTATGTTTTTTTTTTATAAGTTTGTACACCCTTTGAATTAATGATTTAACTTTACTTTATAACATCCTCTTCAAGGTTTAACTTTTGCTTTGAGTTTTATTTAAATTATCCATATATCATATAATAATAAATAACAGTCATTTTTTCTAAATAATAGTAAGAAGTAACTGAGTCGGACGCCCCAGAAGAAATTATAGAAGAATTTTACAATGACCTTACTAATATTGTCAAAAGGATTCAGAAAACAAAATAATACTAATAATGGGAGACTTTAATGCCAAAGTTGGCAAAGGACAAAGTGGAAATTTAGTGGGATCCTTTGGTCTAGGGGAACGTAATGAACGCGGAGACCGTTTGATTGAATTTGCAACTGAAGAACAGCTCGTAGTGACAAACACCTTTTATGATCTTTTTCCAATACGACTATATACGGGGAAATCTCCCCGGGATACTCCAGATCACACAGTACGAAATCAAACAGACTATATTCTTATTAATAAACGATTTAGAAACTCTATAACATCTGTTAAAGCGTACCCGGGATCCGACATAAATTTGGACCACACTCCACTTGTCGCCAAAATGAAACTTAGTTTAAAGAAAGTTCAAAGACCAAAAATTACGAAGTACGATATTAACCAACTGAAAAATAAAGCAGTAAAGGAAAAGATACAAAAACGCCTAAAAGAAAAAACGTGTGCTCGTACAGAAAAACCACGGGCTCGTATAGAAATAAATAACACAGATGTAGAACTAGAAAATTTGCACAAAGTAAGTCAAGAAATAACAGAGAAATACTTAAAACCTGAAAGAACAAAGAAAAAGGAATGGATGACGGAGGAGATTCTATGTATTATGGAAGACAGAAGAAACGCTAAAGATAATAATAATTACTACAACAACATAGATAACGAAATAAAAAGGGCTATTAAAATAGCAGAAAAAAAATGGTTTAGCTCGAAGTGTACAGAGATAGAGTCATTACAACAAAAACATGATTCATTTAACCTCCATAAAAAGATTAAAGAAGTGGCAGGCTTATATAAACACAAGAACACTGGATTCCTGACAGATAATCAGGGAAACATAGTACTGGAAATAGAGCATAAAAGTGATATTAGGATTCCGTGGAAAAAACTTTTGAAGATGTACGAAGTAACACTGGTATTACAACAAACACCAATTGCAAATCTGGACCACCATTTACAGTCGAAGAAGTAAAATATGCCATCAAAAGCACCAAAAATAGTAAAGCAGTGGGCCCTGATAATTTTCACTCAGAATTCTTAAAACTTATGGACTATGATGGCATAAAATGGTTGAAAAATATATTTAACAATATACATGATACAGGCATAATTCCCCAAAAATGGTTAGTGTCAACTTTTATAAATCCTCCAAAAAACCCAATGCGAGAAAGTGCGAAGACTATAGAATTATAAGCCTTATGAGCCATTTACTTAAAACATTTACTCAAAACATTTCTAAAGGTCGGCAACAGGAGAGAGGTTCTCTCTCCTGTTGCCGATAAGAATGTAGAGCGTAGAATAATTTTTAGTAATTTTAAACTGTTGGTCCTTGTTTTAATGTAGTGTTATGTACAATTTATGTCCAATTTCATGTTTATTACATTCTGCGCTTGCTGGATAGCCCAAATTTGACGAAATGCCCCTGATGATGTTGTAGAAAGCGAAAGTACTTGGGCAAGATTTGATTATTAAATTTGTGCTCGATATTTGCCTTAATTTTTCAAAGTTCATTTATTCGAGCATTCAACCTTATATTAATCAACTAAAAACTTTTGTTTTAACACTTCTACAGAGTTTATTTTAAATTATTACAACTGTTTTGGCAGAGTGCCTTTCTCAAGTAGATTTTTTTTGTTTCCTCCTGAGGTGGTCAATGGACGTTTATTTTCTTGTTTATATTTTGTAGATATATTGTCTAAAAGTTAACGTGAATATATTGGTTGTACTAAAATACTATTTTTTTGATTTTTAGAAGAATGTAATCCTGGTATGTGGGGTATATTTGGAGGAAAATCGAATAATAAAACCAGCAGCGATTTTGATATAATCGGTTTAATCATCTGGATGTGCTGTGTGCTTTACTCATCTCTACGCTCTGCAAGCAAATCATCAAAGATTACAATGTCTGAGAGTATGCTAGCCAAGGATACAGGAGCAGGTAAATATAATATGATCAGTATTCATACACATATAAAAGATGTGTAATAATGCAAAAGCCGGTACTTTTTTTAAATTTACTTGTTTAAATCAGCTATTAACAACAATCATTTTCAAGTGTCATCTCCGCGACAGAGGTCGGCAATCATCATAGCTTTGGGACTTTAGAGACGGCTACTCTGAAAAGTTCGCTTGATTCCAGTCTTCTAGGTTGCGCAGCCATGATGTTCTACGTCTCCCATTGCTTCTTTTCCTGCATAATCAGTTGGAGCAAGTTGTATATCTCAATTTTTAAGTGCAATATGTCCGAGATATTTTATATATAACCTTAAATCATGTACATAGTGCACTCTTCTAATTTTGTTGAAATTTGCTCTAACCTTTTCTATTCTGATTTTTATTTCCTGGAAGTTATCATGTGTGGAGTTACTCATTGTTCCAAGATATGTATATTTGTCCACTCGTTCGACATTGGTTTCGTTTATTAGAAGATTCTCGTTATATCTTGGAGTTTTCGATATTCTCATAAATTTTGTCTTTTTGACGTTCATTATTAGATTATATTCTTTTGCATAATCTGGTATCCTGGACATCAGGCTTAGAGATCTTTAATAATTTCGTGTACCTTTTTCGCTGCCTATAGTATAAATTCGATAGGTATGATCCTGGGTCATTGTAGTCTATACTGATTTCAGGACATTCATTAAGTCTTCGTGTCCATTGCCCATCTTATGTTTATTGTTCATGTCCATTGTCCATTATATGTTTATTGTCCATGTCCATCCTATGTTTACTGTTCATTTGAATGCTTTATTATATTGATTGACGTCCAGGCACCTTCGTTCAGTATATTAAGTAAAAATAGAGCTTCAAGCGTTTCTATGCCTTTGATTAGTAAAATCCTTGGATTTTACGAATTTAAAGAAGATGCGCTTCAATCGTCTTTAATAATTAGTTTAATTATAATAAAAATATTAATTTTTTTTTATATATTTGAAAGTATGTATTTTTTAATTGAGTTCTACTTTCTCTTCTACTTTTTTTGTAGATATTACTTAGTCTGTTTTTCAATGTGCCTCCAACAAGTTGGCGTTCCATAGTTTTCGTGATATTCCTATTAATCGCTTTAACGAACAATAGATGACTCCAGGAATCTCCCTGTCTTATCGCATTACCAGCTTCACTAGTGTCGGTTAGTTCTTCTTCCACTTTTACTTTTATTGTGTTGTTTTGGTCAATATTTTCGATCGTTTTGATCATTCCTAGAGGCATCTCTCTTGCGTACAATAAGTGGATAACGTCCTTCAATTTGGCCCGGTCACGAAACATAGATATGCTGGTTTGTTGTATTCTAATGATTTCTCTTGCACTTGCCTCGTTATAAATCTAGCGTCGGTGCATGATGTTTTCGATGTGAAATCTTCTTGTTCTTCTGCTAGTGTTATAATTTCATTTAGTTTATTTGCTATCACTTTGGTTATTAATTTTAGTGTTGTGGTTAAGAAATTAATTCCTCTGTAATTTTCCTCTGTAATCTTTATCATTTATCATAATAATGTTATTTTCCTCTCTGAGAGGAGTGATTTCTCATTTCTTTCTTGGTACTTATAGTATATGAATGAGGAGAGATCTTTTGTCGAATTTTGACTTCATGTTGTTGACACTCTGGAATAGATATTTCTGTCAGGTCTCTTCCTTATTTTTTCGGGCATTGTGTAGTCCTCATTCTGTAGTTATGATCAAAATTATGAAACATTATGAAATACTTAGCCATTACTTATTGAAATGAAATACTTAGCCGCCAATAGAAACACTCTATACCTAATGATAAATTTCATTAAGGGTGCAAAAGAAAAAGTTTAAAATAACATAACCTAAAACTTCTTATTCTTAGTATAATAGTTGTTCTATTTATGTTCTATACAACTTTCTGTTGCAAACGGCCTGAATTTCGTGTCATTCCTATTTAACAAACAGATACACATCTCTTTATATGAATTATTTTTTATTTATACAAACAATATAATATATTGTAAATAAGAATAAATTCTAAAGAGTGTTTCATAAGTAGTGAATAAATAAATGAAAGCAAAATCTATAAATTCCGCCCTCAGTATTTTAGTTTTAGACAATCAAAGACTCATTAAGTATATGTGATTTATCCACCCCTAATGCATGTTTATTTCCCAATGAATCATCCTATATACCAACTGGACTTTTTTTCTTACTTGGTTTAATATTTTTTTAAATTTATATTTACTTAATTTTTCTTATAAATGGTCTGTTCGTTGATATTTTTTTTTTGTTTCGTTGACATGTATATCTAGTGTTGTACAACGCATGCTTAAATTATATTTTGCTTTCTGTTTTCCTTTTTTAGTGAATGGTTATCCTTGGCATTGTGTAGTGATAAATATGTTTTGCCTAATTTTCATTTACATTTTATTGTTGATAATTCAATTCTAATTATATATTTTTTTATCCAGTAAAAGACTATGGATCAGACAATTTAGTTGACAACGAAGGTAGGATACTGATTTTCAAATTAGTTTTTGAAGACTTAATGAATGTTGTAATATGAATTTCTGGTCGAGTCTCAAACATCCAACAAATTAATAAACATTTATTTAATTAATCATTTAGAACGTTAAATCAAATCATTACAGTTCTAAAGTGCCAAGTTAACAATATGTATATTTTTTATTAAGCTTTAATATTTATAATTATCCGAACATCCGACGATGCATGAAATAGCTGTTGATGATGATAATAACTCATCAACAGTCAAATATTTCCTACCATTTTATAACTGCGCAAAATTGCTAGATGATTTCGTGTCTTGTTCGTGATATGAATAAAAGGACTAAAAACTAATAAGTGTGTATTCTTTAGTCTAATACATTGGTTCTTCACTAGCAACTTTCGGAAATACGATACTTCGATATTTACGATACACAGATACTATCCACCATTAACAGTTATTTCTTATCTAACAAATTAGTTTTGAATGAAGAGAAATCAAAGTATATGATTTTCACGGCAAATAATTTATTAAACCGTCAAGCCCCTATAGAAGCAACAATAGATAAAACAGACTGCACGAAGTTGCTGAGGGTACTTCTAGACAGTAATTGTAAATGGTCAAACCACATTTCTAATTTGAAATCCAGATTAAGTAGCGCATATTATGCATTGAGAGTTCTCTCACGTCTGTTTCATACATCAATATTAAAAACAGTATACTTTGCCCATTTTTACTCAATAGGCAAATATGACATTGAAATCTGGGGTTGTACCTCTGAATTAGAGCAGATATTCGTACTTCAGAAAATAGCTATTAGTATAATGTATAAAATGAAATTTAGAGATTCTTGTAGAGGTATCTTTAGACAAAACAATATTCTTACATTCCTGGTCTGTATATATTTTCGTGTATAATGTATTTGCATAGCAAAATTTATGAATTTAATAAATTTCAATTTAACCATGTTTATTCAACAAGATTCAGAAACAATCACTTTATGCTTCTACAACATCGTTCTGTTTTGTTGGAAGGTAGTACATATTATGCAACCATAAGTTTCTTTAACAAATTACCAATAGATATACGAATGAGTTTACATCAGCCAAACTTTTGGAGGTGTGTACATCAATACATTTGTGAGTTAGAGCCATATTCTAAAAAATAACTTTGTATGTATATTTATGTATGTTTGGTTTATTGGTAGAATGTGAAGTAGCGTTAAACAAAACTGCTAACAATATCGAAGAAACTATAATTGCCAAATCTATTACAGATGTGTGTAGTGAAACTAAACAAAGTTACAAAGACACTAAAACAGCCAATTTAATTAAAAATATATCAATAGAAAACAACATAGTGTTTATAAAAGCAGACAAAGGTAACACTACTATTGCTATAGATAAAATAGAATATAATAACAAGACAATAGAATTCTTAAATAATCAAAATATTGAAACGTTCCACAACGATCTGACTGAAAATTCAAAATCAATAGTAAATCCAATAGAACAGAAATACCTCAATATCATGAACCCACAGCCTCCTAAAATATACTCTTTCATTTAACTACACAAACCGGATCACCCAATAAGACCTGTAGTTTCTTTTTATGCAGCTCCGTCATATAAGCTTTCAAAAAAACTATTAGACAATTATTTTAGAACACACTAAATTTTAAAATAAATTTAACATAAAAAATACAATAGAACTAGTCAATAAAATACAACATATTCAATTACCTAACAACTCCAGATTAATTTCATTTGACGTAAAAAATCTTTTTCCTAGTATCCCTCCTACAGAAACTTTTATTTTAGTAAAAAACCTTTTACACCAAAATAGTACAAATCCAATCATTACATCTGAAATTTTACATCTTCTTGAAGTTTGCATAAACCAGGACTACTTTGAATTTAATAATCAAATATATACAAATAACAGTGCAGGACTTATAATGGGCAATCCCCTATGCCCATTGCTATTAGATATTTTTATGGATCATCTAGAGACAAAGATTTCAAAACATCCCGTATTTAAACAGTTTTTAAATTGGTGGAGATACTTAGACGACGTACTGGTATGTTTCACAGGAACTAACAGGCAACTTAATCAATTTTTATCGTATACTAATTCAATTCATCGTCATATTGAATTTACAATAGAAACAGAACAAAATCAATCCATAAATTTAGATTTAAAAATTATCAGACTTAAAAACAAACATGACTTGTCTCCATATTTCATAAACCTACCTATACTGACCCGACTATACACAATTCATCATCCCATCCAACACAACATAAACTGGCAGCCTATCATAGTATGTTACATAGATTAACAGAAATTCCGATGTCAAAATACAACTTTGAGACCGAATTAAATATCATCAAGCAAATAGCAGTAAACAAAGGATACAACGATCATACAATTAATACGTTAAATCAAAAACTACACAAGAAAGCCCTGAAATTAGTATTTCAGGGCTTCCTGAAATCCTAATCATAATCCTAATCCTAATCTTGAAAAAAAAAACCAGTTCCTTCTGCTCGATTACATATACAGGCAAAATATCAACAAAAATAGCCAAACACATAAAAAAGAAAGGAATAAGACCAGCTTTCCGAATAAATAACAACCTAGGCAAATATATATAAAAAAAAAACAAGATCCAAAATAAAAAACACTTACACAGTGGTGTGTACAAACTTAAATGTAGCGACTGCCCAAAAACTTACATCGGTCAAACTGGTAGAAACTTTAATAAACGAATAAAAGAACATAAAAGGGCTTTCAGTAATAGAAAAACAGATTCTACATACGCACTTCAGCTTCTAGATCACAATCATTCTTTTAATGATGAATTTAAAATTCTTCATATTCAAAATAATGTTTCAACCAATGGTTATAATGGTTCAGCTTTTCGTATTACAACATTCACTGATGTAGTCTTAATCTTTTTTATTATTTACATGCTTTATACGTATTTTATATGTAGTATATTAGAGCAAATTAATGTGTCTACAAGGTTTTGAATGGCCCAGTATAGTAAAATATTCTGTAATTAATACATCAATCAGATTATATTTGAATTGACTTAAAATTTGGCCAAAAAGAAAAATACTTTTACGATAGGTCACTAAAATAATTCAATTTCAAGTGTAATCCCAAGTTTTGTCAGAATTAGAAAATATTTTCTGTTTATTTACTCATAGAGGAAAACTCACTGACAGTACGTACCCCCTTTTTGTATTGTTATTTATATTTTTTGTAAGTTTTAGTCTATAATATTTGAGAACCATTTCATATATCAATATTTTAACTAAGCGGTTATTGTGATTTTTGGTACAATGCTTAATTTTATTTTTTTAAGCCCTTCTCTCTATTCGAATTGCCGAATATAGGCCTCTTCTAACTCTTGACGTTTCCACATCGATCCTAAATTTCTTTTAATATCGTCGCTCCAGCGCATTTGCGGTCTTCATCGTGGTCTTTTGACTTCATATGGCCGCCAATTCCCGATTTCTTTATTCCATCCCAATGTTTTCATTGGTTTAAGGCCTTTGAGTGAGATAATCAGCATCTGTCGTTCCACAGCTCTCTGAGTTTTTCTGATCTTCTTCATATTACAGGAATTAAGCACTTTGGTTCGCAGTATTTGAGATATATTTTTATTTTTAAGTACGTATGAGAGTCTTCCGAATGCTACCCATCCCATTTTTACACGTCTGCTTATTTCGGTAGTCTGATTTTCTTTGCTTACCTTGACATTTTGACCCAGATATGTATATTCGTCTACGTGTTCTATCTCTGTCGATTGGATGTTTATCATAGGTTTGTCATCTTTGTTTGACATTAGTTTAGTTTTGCTGAGATTCATTTTTAGTCCTTTTTTTAGGAATTCTGTGTGTAGCTCCTGTGTTGCACAGAATTTTACACGTGTCCAAATAGGTCGTTTATTTATTTACCTTATTCAAAGTTGAGAATATTTTTTGACTCTTTAACGCGGATGGTAAAATAACTACATACAGTGCGTTAAGTTTTGGATTAGGTATACACTCTATAAATGGCAACACTGCGCGTCGTCGACTTGCACTACATATCTGCTTCGTTGACTCGTCGTTGCTCGTCGCCCGTCGGCAAATTTGTCATATTGTCATTCATTATACCGTGGTTGTTCAAAGGTATAACAGCGTAGAGTTTTAATTTATTTTTGTAAACATGTCTGTTTATATGGCCGCGGAAAAAGCTCAAATAATAAAATGGTTTTATAGTGGCAATTCTGCGCAACAGTGTGTAGATTTATTTTCTGTGTTTTTTGAGGGAAGACCAATTGCTTGTGTACAGTTAATTTATAATATTGTTAAAAATTTTGAGAGTTGTTATTGCCTCAAAAATTGCAGAAAATGTCACGCTCAAGAAGTGTTACCAGAAAAAGTTGAGGAAAGAGAATACCGGGATACACAAATTTGTGCAACAATCGAGGTAGATTCAACACGTTCAAGTAGAAGCGTTGCTAGAGAGTTAGATGTTAGCAATGTTACTGTAACGAAAGTATGGAAAAAGCACGGTTGCAAGAATTTTAAATATTCGAAAACGCAGCAGCTTTATCCAGACGATTACTTTCGAAGAATGGAGTTTTGTGAAACTCTAATAACGAAGGCTAATAGTGAACCAAATTTTATTAAAAACATTTTATTCACTGATGAACCTTCTGTTTCGTTAGTAGGGAGACACAATCCTTCCATTACGAGGTATTGGGCGCGGGAAAACCAGCACAGAAGTGTTGTTTACCGAACTCAACGTCCTCAAAAAGTTAACGTCTGGACTGGCATTTTAGGAGACCACATAATAGGTCCATTTTTTATTGAGGACAACTTGAATAGTAGAGTATACCTCGATTTGTTACAGAATCATGTTCTTCCCGCTATTCTCAATCTTCCTGATGTTAATCTGGAGAATGTTTGGTTTCATCAAGATGGCTGTTCAGTTCACAACGCTCGAATTATTAGGGAGTATTTAAACAATACTTTCCCGAATCGAGTTATCAGTGGAACAGGCGATATTAAGTGGCCTGCGCGATCTCCAGATCTTACACCCATGGACTTCTTTTTTTGGGGACATTTAAAAAGCATTATCTACGCTCATCCTGAGGCTAGAGCCCAAAATTTGGATGAATTAAAAAATCGAATAAGAGAAGTCTCCAATTCTGTTACAGCAGAAACTCTTTCATCTGTTCGCAGAAGTTTTTATGACAGATTGGGGTACTGTTCAGCCGTAGAACGTCAACTATTTGAACCATTTCTGTAGGTCATAAAGAATTATTTTTTTATTTTATTAGGAATAATATTTTAATTTTCAATAAGAGTATATTTTTTATTTTATCTTTTTAAAGAAATACGCTTTTATTTTTAATTCAACCACAAAAAAAATTTCACATTAATAAAAATCGATAACAATGCACCGATTAGGTCAGTGCATTTTTATCGAATTTCCTACTATTAAAATCGGCTATACGTAATGAAACATGAGATCGGACGACAGAGAAAACCCCAAACGTTGTTGTGAGTTACTAAACTAAAATAAATGATTTCATGTCGGTGTAGATACTGAAATAGTCTCGGGTCGGAGAACGAACATTTGCAACGTTGCCGATTTTAGCGCTCCGTATAGTGTGCAATACCTAATCAAAAACTTAACACACTGTATACGATAGAGGTAATGGTTTTTCCAAAGAGCTATGACGTTGTAAATAGTTTCGTTTTTTTTTTTGGCTAATTTCCATACATCATTCAATTTAAAAGTTACGTTGCAGGCAGAAACTTTGTTTTTTACCAATGCCCATCTTTTTCAATAGGATTTAGCTCCGCTTGATAAGGTGGTAGACGCAACGTTAATATATCATCTTTATGAATTATATTTTACAAAGTTGCTTGTGCATTTTTATAATTATAAATAATTCGGCCGTAGTTGCTTGGCTCATGAAAATTATTTCTTTATCAAGCCACTTCAACAGTGCATCTTTCTTCGAGGAAAAATTTGGAATGATTCTAGGAGTACATTATTGCCCATTGTCTATTACCAAGCATTGGGAATACATTTTTCTTTTAACCATTTTATAAAATTGCGAGGTATTAATTTCGTCGTGGTAGCATCTGCTTTTTTCCCCGATTTTAAAAATGGTTTTAAAAGTGCCTCAGTTCACCACCAGCATGAACAATAATAAGCCTTTAATCTTTAGCTACATGTGATTTTAAACATTTATTTTGAACATCGTTCCGTGCTTTTTTACGGTATGTAACTATATATATATATATATATATATATATATATATATATATATATATATATATATATATGCTGTTTCGCTGAGGCATGTGCAGTGTTCTGCTACTTCGGAAGCTTTGTTGCACGTTGTTTCTTTTAGAGCGCATTCAACGTCTGTTATCAGTATGGGTAGATTGTTTTCTTTTTCTATTGGTTAGCTGTCATCTTGTCTGTTGTCTGCAAATAATTCTAGGAGGTATCTCTCGCAAATTTGTTTCTGCTTTTTAGGGTTTATTACCATTTCGTTATCTTCATCTTTCATTATAGAGGCCTTCCAGAGACCTGCAACCTCTTTTATTTTTTGATGTAATTCTCGCTTTTTGTGTTCTTGCTGAAGTTGTTTTACCACTTTGCACCTCTCATTCAGCCATTGTTCCTTTGATACCCGTATGTATTTTTGGATTTTCCTGTTGAGGGTTGAGGCATAAATATGCCTTTCGTTTTTTGTTTTTTTTTTCTTGGCAGTAATAAAAATAAAATATATTTCTTTGTTTTTTGCTTGTTCGAGAAAAGGTTACTATATTGTGTAGTCGATGGAAGTTTGGTTTTTCACGTGAATATATTCCGATATATACTTTGTACAACTAGCGGGAGGTTATTATCTCCTATTGTAAAAATCTGGAACTAGAGGGTGAGAAAATCTTCACCACTGTACAACGCTGTCACCACTGTAACATCCTTGATATGGACCTTAAGGATGCTTATCCCTGCGAGCGGCTGCAAGGCTACTGGTACCACTGGTCTGGAATGACTGGCTCGCCTTCGTGGATTTACGAGAAGGTAGAGAAGTTTCGGGGTAGGGATTTAAGGGCTTCTAGGTCTCAGGTCCTGTAAAGAGTTTGAGTCTATGAGCTTACTTTAGAAGCCGGATAAATGTATAAGCCGACATTTGGTACTCTCCTGGTCTCTGTCTGAATCGGCCGGAAGGAACATAAAAAACAAATTTAGAGTCTACAAATGTATTGAATATACTATGTGGTTTACAATTAAGTTAACAAGCTGTCAGATATAATCAATAATATCTCGTTCGGCGCGAAGGGAGACGAGAAGAGATCTTAGCAAGAAAGTAAAGGGGTGACAATCTGTACTACTATAATTTACTCGGGTTAATATATGGAATTTTGTTACCTTTCGCGTATTTAGGCTCTAGCTAATGATACGCCCTCCAGTTCCTCTGGAAATCGGATTTCTTTCAGTATCCGACACTTATACGGAACTATATCTCGAAATAAAACAATCGCGCGTAATCCGCACCTGGTGTCGCCTCTCGCCTTGACAGCCCCGCCCGAAGATACTGACTGACTGGACGCAATTACTGCCTGAGCGGGCAGTCACGGTGCCCAGCTATCACTGATCGTGTACTGGGCGCTATCGCGTCCGAGCGCCCAGGGAGAGAGAGAGACTTCTTCTTCTTCAAGTGCCGTCTTCGTTCCGAAGTTTGGCTATCATCAAAGCTATGCGTATTTTTGATGCTGCAGATCTAAACAGTTGGTAATTGGTGCAATTGTACCATTCTCTCAAGTTTTTCAACCATGAATGCCTTCTTCTTCCTATAGATCTCTTTCCCATTATCTTTCCCTGTGTAATCAATTGCAGCAACTGGTATTTATCTCCCCTCATAACATGTCCCAAATATTGTAATTTGCGCTTTTTAACAGTAAGTATCAGCTCTTTCTCTTTCCGCACTCTCCGCAAAACCTCCACATTTGTTACTTTCTCTGTCCAGGGTATTCTTAATATTCTACGATACATCCACAACTCAAATGCTTCTATCTTTTTGGTATCGATCTTTTTCAATGTCCATGTTTCCATCCCGTAGAGGAGAACTGACATAACGTAACATCTCAAAAGGCGAATTTTAAGTTTTAGACTTAGATCTCTTCCACAGAACACCTTTTTCAATTTAGTAAATGTGGCTCTAGCTTTCTCTAGAGAGATACTACTGCCTGGTAATTTTTTTAGTTTTTATGTCCCGCGAACATTCCTAGTTTATTTTGCTGAGTCCTCATGATTTAAACCAGGTCGGCGCTGGTGATATTTTCCAGCGTAGGTCTGTGTTTTTTAAAACGTGACTATTTTCATTTTTTTTTTAACAATTGTTGCAACTGATACTGGCTCGTGTCATGCAACTAACTGGGTCAAATTGTTTTTCTTTGTATAGATTAACATGTATACGTTACTGTATCGAATTTATTCTTTATTTAATTTGGAATATATAATAATTATTTTGAATAATTATTATCTTCTCTATGCTACTTAGCCCTTATTTTTTCTATTCTTTATTTAATGGCTGAGATGTCTCCAAAAGGTGAACATTACTTGCCAGTATTAGACAGATTTTCATGTGATTTTAGTGAACTTTGCTTCGTATTTGATATATAACCTCATCACCAAGCAGAGGGTGGGTTTACATTTAATATTACATACATAAAAGTATTAAAATAAACGAAATAATGTCCCTATTCGAAAGAGCACTAACGTGAGTTTTGTTCTGCAGAAGCCAGCAAACTTTGAGTTGGCTTGTATGTTTTTAATATTAAATTTAAACCCACCTTCTGCTTTGTGGTGAGGTTATATAGCAAGTACTGAGCAAAGTTCACTGAAGTTGCTCTGATAAGACTGGAAACGTTCGTTCTGAAGAAAATCAAAACCCGTTTGGATTTTTTTTATTTAATTTTTAATTAAATATACACCTATTAACAGAAGTTGTCATTTCAATGTAAAAGTTTTTTAGTAATAAATTTCTCTGATCGCGTTATAGAGTTTAATATTATTATTGCGAATTTAGATTTTTGTGACTTGTAGACATATTAGTTAGATAAAAACAATTTAACACTCCAGAGATACATAATGCCTAGGGCCATCCGCTACTTTTAATTTCTTTTATTTAGTTATTATTTTTCTTTTCTTGCTGTTTAAAAAATGAGAAGAACCCTATGCTCCTATCGCAGGTAACGATGGTGGTGAGGGCGGAGACAAGAAGGTATGGGACAATGAGGAGGAAACTGTGGCATACAGTTGGAGTTTCTTCCACGTTATGTTTGCTTTGGCAACTTTGTACGTTATGATGACTTTGACCAACTGGTATAAGTAAGTATTTAGATCAATATTCGTACCGTTCACGTCATAAAAAACTGGTACAACTCTTATAATCAAAAATCGTTTGTTAAGTTGTGTACGTTGATCTTGTCACATGTGTCATTCTAATTTCTAGGGCACCGTTGCCAGTTCGACAAAAATATTATATGCAACCAGCTAAAAGCAGGGTTGTGTAACAGACCGTCAGTTTTGAGTATACTAAAATATTATCGAGCATTCTCGATCAGTCAGTCACATTAAATTTGTTTAAACATGCATCCTAAAATTTTCATTAATTTTGTAATTTTCCATCATCTCAAATAAGTACCCATACATTGATTTTTGTTTTATAACAATTTATGAAAATATTTCAATTTAAAAATAATGAGAGATAATCAATCTAGACATAACTTTAAATTATTATAATAAAACATTGGAAGAGACATTGGTGAGATATTGGATTGTAACTGTCACGTTTTGAAAAGCGTTTTTTGTCCCGGATATTTTGTAGTTTATAATCTACGTAGGATAAAGTATAATGTTAGTTTTTCACATTTTTTATCGTTCTTGTAATAAATAATAAATTAATCTTGGTAGTTTGCCTGTTACAAAACTTATTGACACAAAAAACAGTTCGTGTTTGGTAGTCAATTGAAGTATAAAATTACAGTAGATGCATTCCAATGTTCCCTGTACCAATACCCTAGGTTTAAAGAGTTTTAAAATATTTTGGATATTAACTCAACCCTATCTCTGGTTATCGATATCGATATGGTTATCAATACCTATCTAAAAACTTTAAACATTATTTTTTTTATTCAGATTTAGTGCAATTCCGTTATCTGTGATGGCAACAACGACTTGATTCACGAACCATTGTGTCTAGTCTGAATACAGGTTTACATTGGGGAAAAAAAGTGTACCAGTTTTATATGACCGAAAGTGTACTAGTATAGTAATTAACGTTAGTAGTCCGGTACACCCATTGTAATCGTACGAGTAGATACTTGCGGACGAAGAAACCGGGTCAGAAAGTTCTACGAGACCCGTTAAGGTTAAATTCCGAAAGTGGCTGCAGACTGCAAACCGCAGACTGCAGCGACAGTCTCATCTGCGGTCAGACCTATTCCGAGCAGAACTGCACTGCATCTACAAAACAGCGACAACAGCATTGCACAATGGGAATTTATAATAGTATAATATTAAAAGTCGTGTAAGTAGGGTGTCAGACGCAATAAACAACGATGAATTAATGTTATATCTTTTGATGGAAGAAGAAGATGTCGACGATCTTTACTTTTGCATTATAAAAGAAAAAGGAAGCCAACTAGGTCTCTATTTAAAAATAGACAATTTGAAGGAAGTTATTCAATACTCATCAAAAATCTCTTCTTCATTTGAAAAACTCATTTTCAAAATATATTCAATTCTTTTCACTTTTCAGTCAATTTGGAAACAGCAAAAATACGTGTTGTCACTCTGCGGTCGGCGACACTACTGGTTCTGGTGCAGTCCTGCGGTCTGCGGTGGCGACGTTCTACTTGCGGTGGCAACAGTGCCGCTCTACTCGACATACAGCTCATAAGAAATCATATGAACCAGTAGGTCTGTCGCTGAGGTCTGCGGTCAGCGGCGTGCAGTTTGCGGTCGTGTTCGGAATCGTACCTTTACAATCGTTAATTTATCTCAAACTGTCTTTTCTACCAATATATTCAAATATAACTCTCCTATAGTTTCTTAGACAATCCCATTTCTATTTTTGTTATTTAGTAATTAATATCATATTTGAAGGGTCAGAAACCAAGGTTCAAGTCGAGATTTTTCAATACTGAGTTAATTGCACAAATCAAAACTTAACATATACATGTAGTTGGTGGGAAAGAGATCCAAGCATAAAACAAGTTGTCTAGGATATAGTCTTCGAAGGATCAATTGAAGAAGATTTGTTTCTCTGTACACCCTTTTAGAGCAACGTAACAGGAGGAGAAATTTTTAAAATCATTGATAATTATATGACTAAACACCGTATTGACTGGAACAAATGTATTGATGTGTGCAGCGAACGAAGTTGCAGCTCTGGTCGGCAAAATAAAAGGAACTGTAAAAGGAATATTGCACCCAATTGTAGTAGCAGTTTCTCCGTTCTGCATCGCCATGTTCTTGTCGCGAAAAAAATGCTATCGGCTTTAAAGAAAGTTCTCGATCGAGCCATACAAATTGTTAACTACGTTAAATCATGTCCACTCCAGTCAAGGCTTTATAAAAAAGCGTGTGAAGAAGTAGGAAGTTAGTATCAATTACTTTTGCTACACACGAAAGTAAGATGGCTTTTAAAAGGAAAAGTTTTATGAAGATTATTTGAATTGCGCAACAAGCTTACGATATTGTTTGCTAAACAACCTATTTCTGTATATGTTAGCTTGTTGAACTATGCATTATGAGCAATGGTTGATGATATTGGCTTACTTAGCTGATATATTTGATAAACTCGTTTTCTGCCAGTTCCTACAAGAGAGTACAGTAACCACATTTACAGTAAAAGACAAAATTTCGTCCCTTCTTCTTTTTGATGTGCCTATCATCACCAAGATGTTCTTCTTCTTCCTGGACCTCGCTTTCTAAATATTTTTCCTTTCCTATATCGTCCCTTAACAACACAATTTGCTTCTGGATAGAATGTGTGGAACAAAAAAATTACCAATGTTTTACTCTTTTAAATAACTTCCTGGAGGAGAATGAGTTAGGAGTAACCTCAGATGTGGAAAAAAACCTAATTGACTATTTAACCTCGAAAAATCCTTGAAAGATTATTTCCCGGAGATGTTACAGGACATCGACTGGGTTCAGGATCCATTCACAAAACATACCAAGCCATCGATCGACATTAAGTGTTTATCCCCTCTAAAACAAAAATTCGAATCAGAAGATTATGACCATGGAAATGGCCTATTGGGGACAATGTTTCCGGCTCACTAGACTTGAGAGGGCGAGGAATGTAGACATTAGAAGAGAAATCGAAATTGATCTAGACAAAATAGACACTGTTGAAGCCAAAAGACTAAACTACTATGGACACCGGCAGAGAATGCCTGAAAGGGCTGGATAGCTTTTCCATATGGCACAAAATAAAACAAATCTTGCTATAGGAATCAAAAACGTCCGGGAGACGGGACAAGGCACTTGAAAGAAGAAACAAATACTCTTGTATCAAGGCTAAATCTAACCTATTCGCAATAACAGCGAATTTTGTCAGGCTCTCCGGTTTACTGCTTTAAAGGTTTTCCTTTCGAAGATCGGTAACGATTTTAATAAATTTTTCTGTTTTGGGTTTTTCCGCAAATCGCCAGGAAATTTTGACATTCCTGTCAAAATTTCTTGAAGAAAAAGTCAGGGCTTCCTTACTGTAAGGAAATGTTATTTCCTTACTGTAAGGAAATGATATTTCCGTACAGTTGTTAGTGGTCTACATAAATGATAGAAAACACATTCCTTATAAGGAATTAATTTATATTTTGAAAACATCAAGTCATTGCTGAATACATTTTTAAGATCAATTTGTTATATTTACAGTAATTTGACAGTTAGTACAATTATTGAACATTGGAGGAACACTCTTAGAACTATGAGAAACATTTTGGACAACATGCAGGGTGGAAGTGTCATTTTGTTGAATATTTTGTACTGTGAAAATTTTATTTGCCACCTCAACCTTATTGTTAAGCGATTCTTCGATATATCCTTCAGCAACGTTTGATGACTTCCATCCGCCATGCCTCTTTAAACTAGTTATGTCGGCACCAGAGTCAACCAATATTGTTGCAGAAGACCGACGAAAGCAGTGACCAGTATATTCTGTCGGATTTACCAAGTTCAAATAAGTAGCAATTATTTTGGGCATTTTTCTAAATTGATGAATTCCTACCACTTGTCTACAACCCTTTCCGCTTTGATATTTAAAGAAAAATCGGTCACTGTTCATATTTTCTGGTCTTAACGAAACATACTTTCGATAAACATTCAAGTCGATCTGATTAATTACAAATGATCTTGGTTTGTTGGTTTTCGAATCAGGTATGCTGATTAAAAGCTTAGATTCTAAGTCTTCTATATCATGTACAGTCATTCGGACTAACTCATCCATTCTACAGGCCCCAGAAATACCAAATATTACAGCCACCTAAAAAATAAATAAAGCTATAATCTAAATAGAAATTAAAACCTTGTAAATTACCTTAATCATTAAATTTTCTTTATCTGGAGCTTCCTGGACAAATTTTTCAATTTCTTCCTTCGTTAAAATCTTAGATTTCTTTGCCCTATAACCTTGAGCTTGCCGTTTTAATAAAGAACGAAGTTTTGAGTATGTAGATATATCTACATTGTGTTTAAGTGCAAGGGTTGACTTCAGCATTGAATAATTGGCCCATAATGTTGAAGATTTCATCTTTAAACAAAGGTCTAGGAAGTATGCCATTACACATTTTCTGAGAAAGAACTCGTATTTTTACTCATGCGATAATCCATAAAACGTCTGTATGCATTTTCGTACTTTTCTCTTGATTTCTTTAGCAATAATTCTAATGAAGCAGTATTCACTGCCTCAACCAGCTCTGGAGGAGTCCCAGGAATGGAAATTTCATTATCACTTATCATTTTACTTTCGAGAACACCAGCAATTAAATTTATAAGCGTCAAGTTTGACAATTCAACCTCAATACGTTTCCATAGTAACCCAAGTAATTTTATTAGGAATTTCAAAGCACCATTTATTTGGGAATAAAATTATCGCGTTTTTTTTTAAATCAATCAATATCTGTCGAATTTTAAACGATTTGCGGAAAAATAGTATGTTTACCTCGTAGGAAAAGCCACATTCCTGGACTCTGTGTTGCTAAGTCTCGGCTTGCGCCTCGACTTAGCAATCTTCACAGTCGTCCAGGAATGTTAAGCTTTTCCTACCCGGTAAACAATGTACTATATATCGATAAAATCAATTAATCTGTTTAATCAATTACAAGCTATCTTAGTAACAATTATAGAAAACGAGTAAAGTTATAAATATTGACAGCCTTTCTTGTTTTTAGTCCAAACTCCAATCTGGATAAACTTCATTACAATCCTGCCTCCATGTGGGTGAAAACAATTTCCAGCTGGCTCTGTCTAGGATTGTACGGTTGGACCTTAGTAGCTCCAGTAATTTTACACGATCGCGAATTCAACTAAATACAACTCATATTTTATTAATGGCATCTTTTATTATCTAGCCTAAGGGGGCCTACACCCTTACGTTTTTATAAAGCTTTAACTGTATTACAAGTTTAAATATGCAAGATGCAAATTATATATCGATACATTTTACGCAGGTAACTGATAATAGACCAAATTTTTGGCTAGCTTATAGTTATCACAAGTGTGGCATTGTCGTCATAAGATATTAAATACCCGATAAAAATAATATAATATATTAGAACCTTAGATACTTTAGGATTTTTGCTGTATTTTGTAACTTTAAATTTTTTTTTAATAAACTAATGTCAATACTTGTTTAATATTTACATATTCTCAAATATCCAACAATTACGCAATTATATTGAAAAGTTAAGTTTATGTTAATTTATGATAAAATCATTACGTCTCCAATTTTAAAAATACTGAGATACTGAGCCAGATGAAACTCAAAAAGTAATTTCAATTCCTTCGCAAAAACTATATCATCAAATAAAATGTACAAACAATCCTAATAATAAGAGAAGTTAACGTCTTATTTTTTTAAACCAAGAGAAAACTTCTTATGATTGGTGACTATAGTTAACAGCGGTTTTTACCACGTGTCTCAAGGTACTGTTCCTGTTAACTAATCATTATCACTAAGAGATGTGAAGAGCACGTCTGTTGTCCACAAGAGTCAATACTTAAGATATATTCGCGGTATTTTATTTCCTGGTAACTAGTGGTTATCACTAAGAGAGAAGAACAAACTGTAGGTTCTGTTTCGAAGCCAATTTCAGAGACAGAAGCACGTTCGTTGTCTATGTAAGCCCCAACAGCAGAGAGCAGAGAGAAAAGCATCTTTCAGGTACGATGAGCACGATCAGAGAGCTGAACACAGCGAACAGTCAAGAGAGAGATCGAAATATCACGTCTATTCGGCACGAACACCAAGATCAGAGGGGGTTTAAAAGACACGTCTTTTCTGTAAGAACACAGGAAGCTAAGAGAGAGCGAAAAAGGCCTAAAAGTCTGTGAGACGCAAACTCGAAAGAGACACAGAGTCTGTTGTTGACGCGATTTAATAAAAGAGAGAGAGAGAGAGAAATTCTATTCTTCATTTTCTTGTCTTTCTTGAGGGTTGGGTTAGAGTGGGAGTAGGATTTGTTATGTAGGGATGGATTTAGTAATGGTTTTTATATGTTTATCAGTTTACAGTAATGGTTTATCAATATTGAGGTTGAGAATATAGGATTTGGTACATCGAAAAATATAACATTGTTTTTCGCATGTGAAAAATTGAACAAAACTTAATTTTTTAATATTCTATAATTAGCTTTAATTTTTGATAGTTTAAACATAAAAATGATCTGCCTAATAACTATGAGCTTGTATATTCGATGCTAAACAACTTCTAAGTGTCATAAAAATGTATGGTTGAATACTTATTTTGGTTAAATTTTTTCAGTTGTCACCTTGTTCATGATAGCCATCGAAAAAAATTTAATTAGAATAGACTGTGCAACAAAAATAACGTTGGTTGAGTTTTTAACAGCTTCCACAAATAATATATACCTAAGGTAAACTATTGGGTTCAATTTTGTTAATACAATTCTATTTTTCCACAATTTCAGTTTAAAATATGTATATTTTTAAAGTGTTGAAACGTCAAAAATAAACTTATTTTTAATTTAAGTTTTGCGTTATTCCTATCAAAAATAATAAATTGCATTAAGATGCCACGAGAAAACAGCTTCAGAGCAATATTTCTTAATACAGTCTTAGAATCTAATATATTTACAAACAACGTTTATATTGACAATGTTAAATCATAAATGAACTGAAATTTATGATTTGTGAAATGACTGAATTGCCAACAAGTGTTAGTTAAATCTAAATTCCACAGCCTACTGTAATTACAATTTTTCTCAATGGCTCAGTATATATATATATATATATATATATATATATATATATATATATATATATATATTATTTTTAATAGCTCGTTTATAAGATGCCCCTTTTGGTCTTAAAAATTATCTTACATATTTTTATATTCTCATAAGAAATAAGTAATATATCTGATATACATAAATTGTTGCCCCGTATGAACAGCTCATTTTTAATTTCAAATTTACCTTATTTTATGTAACATCGAAACACTCAAACCCACGTGGTTGTATATAGCATATACCTTCGACTTTAGGTACTGAATATTACTCACGTAAATCGAAACTTCTAGTGACAACACATGTTACATTTTAGACCGCGTTCCTAATTGGGAAAATTGTGGTTTGATATGCAAAATTGTATAAAGGAATTACCCATAGAATCTTTCAACGCTGGATTCCCGCTTGGGTTCATGATGCAAGAAAGTGTTAAGGATGAAAAAAGAGTGTTGTTTCAGTTCTCTCCTCAGAACATAGTTAGAACTACTAATCTACGTTATTGCCCTTTCATCTTTTCAACAACAAGGATATACTTAGACATTTTCACCATATAATTATTAGAGATAATTAAAAAAAAAAACAAAAATCAATGAGTGACTAGTGCTGGCATAAAAATTACACTACGAAATTTCATAACTAAGCAGTTTAATATATCGGATACATTACAGATATTACTAATTTAGTTATGTACTTCCATTTTGTTTTTAGATTAGCAGTTTTCTTATAACATTTATTGTATAGTGTGATATTTTGTATTTGCAATCACTGTTTACGTTGTTTTGTGATAATAGGTGATTGAAGTATCTTAGTCTTGTTAGTTATTAAAATGAAAATGGAAATTTGTGATCTGTTTGATTTAGATAATCTCACATTATATTTTCAATATATTTAAATATACCTTGTTGCATTTGCGATTTGCAATCGTATTTGTTAGTTCGAATGTTGGATAATATTTGAGTTTCCGTAAAACTTTAAACCTTATTTGCTAGATTTGACTATTTTGTAGACCTACAGTACACCAGGATGTATAAAGATATGTTTCAACCGGGAATACCTATATCTGGTTTTATCCACGATATTAATTATTTTTTAGATTGTGTTGACCTGAGCATACATGATACAAAAATATCCCAGTTTTTCGCCTGTGTTAGGGATCCATCCAGATATCCAAACTATCGTAAATACTTTTTTCAAAAATCAAGTTAGTTTAAAGAAATAAATCAAACACATTCAGATTTACATTAAATAGTGCTAGCTTTTGTAATATATGTACCTATAGATTAAAAATCTGTCAATTTATAATATAGCCTTTTTAATTTTATGTATTTGCCGAAATTAAATAAACTGTTAAAATTATATTACCTTTTTCTGAGATTTTATAAGCATCGAAGTACACGAGTAGTCACCTGTGTAGTGACATTGGTCGCGGACAAACGTCGAAGTATTGAAGACCGAATCCCGTTCCCGACTTGCGATGTTGACCGATATGTGCCATGTGGTTTAATGTGTACATTTGAATGATTGAAAAATTAAAATACTAAATGAAGACACAAACAAATGGTTGAATATGCTTTTACACATCCCAATGAAGAAGTAACTAGAACAGTTAAACAAAATTACATCATTTTTAAAAATTATTCATGAAAAATCGAATTTGGGGTACAATCTGTACCCCCCTCCGGTAGCGGAAGGTTAGGTAAGTTTGTAATTGTAATATTGGCTGTGATAACTAGAATGATATATCAGGTTAATTTAATACGCATAATTATTTTTGTTAATGCCAACAATTGTATGTCATATTATAGTAAATGCTAATGATTGCTGGTGCTGGCAATAATTAGGTAGCCGAGGTATTTATTTACATTTAGTGATTGGCACCTTTTAGGTGCCAGTCATTTACTCTGCAATTTAGACTAAGTGAAAAATTTAAAAAAAGTAGCACATGGTCCAAATACTTATTTAAGTATTTCAGAAGAAACTGTATTAGAAAAATGGGTAGTAGATTGTTAAAGAAAAGGGTTTCCGAAAAGAAAAGAGGACTTCCAAGCTTATGTTAAGTCATTTTTGGATTAGAACCCCCGACCAAATCCATTTAAAAACAATCTTCCTGGGGATCATTGGTATCAATCGTTTTTAAGAAGACACCCTAATTTAACAAATAGAATTCCTGGAACTGTAAACAATACCAGTGGAAACGTGTCAGAAAATGATATCAGAAAGTGGTCTAATAATATACAAGAATATTTAATGGAAAATAAGTATTTTGACATTCTTTCTGATCCTAGCAGAGTTTACAACGGAGATGAAACTTATTTTATCATTTGTCCGAAAGAAGATAGGGTTCTGTCACCAATAGGTGCCAAAATTGTTTATCAGATAAAGGAAGGCCCATCGAAAACAAATATTACCTTCATGTTCACATTTTCTGCTGCTGAAGTTACAGCATCTACAACACCACCGATGATTGTTTATGCTTATAAAAGATTACCCAAAAATACCGCAGAAGCTGTTACATATGGGTATTGTTACTAGTGAAAAAGGTTGGATGCAAGCAGATGTTTTTCATGATTATATATCTAAGACATTATATCTTTCTTTAGTAAAACAGCATGTTACATTTCCAATTATAATGTTTGTAGACGAACAAAAAACACATTTTTAACATACCAACTAAGTCAACTATGTCCAGAAGTCGAAATAATCTTAGTGGTATTATATCCAAATGCCACTAGAATTCTTCAACCGGCCGACGTCTCCAGTTTCAAGTCACTTAAAAATGCGTAGAAAAGTGTTTTGTTGAATTGGAAGAGACAAAATCTATTTGAACAAATAAGTAATAGTAACATTGCTCTAATTTTAAAGGAAGCGGTAGATACTCCTAAACCATCTGCTATCTTAAGTGGTTTTAGAGTGTGTGGTTTCTGTCCTTGGAACGCGGATATTATTGACTACAGCAAACGTCTAGGTAAAAAATATACCATAGATATTTGGCGAAACCACAACAGAATCAATCAATTTGACCGATTTTTGCATCATATGCGATGAAGATACTTACAGGTCTTAAAAGAAGCTAGAAAAAATAGAAACTCTAATAACACTGGCCAAATTTTCAAGGAACTACTTAATCTATTTAACATTTTACATCCAAATAATGAAGAAGACGATAATTCACAAATTGTAATAGATGAAATGTTTTTAGAAGATATGTCTGTAGTAGAAGAGAGAGTAACGATGACTTTAGCTTACGACATATAATCTGTACCTGTTGTTCTTTTGGAATAAGTTCCTGAAGAAAATACAAAAGTGGCATAAAGTTTAGCACTTTACTCTTCGAAAATACTTAAGAGACAATCACAGAATTCGCTGTCATTTCAACTTTTGATTCAGATTCCCTCCACTACTGGTCAAAAATCTATAAATAAGAGCAGTAACATGGAAGATTGCTTTCCTTGGGAGAAAAACCCCCGAACGTAAGGGAATACGTATTACCCAACAAGCGAGAGCTGGCGGGTTGCGCGTAGAACAAATTGAAAAGTGGAAGGGATTGCTCATTTCTATTGCAGTCGGCTAGGAGTTTACATTGTGTAATTAGTGCTAGATTTCTGACAGTGTTATCAAGTATTTACATTTTTATTTGGAGTGGCCCTATATTATAACCTATTAATTATATTTATTAAAATGACAAGTGTATTAAAAGGCAAACCTTTGGGATCACAAGCACGAGAAATAATTTTCAATGTTTGTAATTTTACAACCGAAAAAGCTAATGCAGATACAGTCTTAGTTGATTTAAAAAAGATACAAGAACGTGTAGCTCAATTGACTGGTAATTATAATACTTACTTTCAAAATAAATTCATGTTTAAATAATTTAATTTAAGTTACAATCAATAAAATTATACTCAATTAAAAACTTACAGAACAAAAAATAGCAGTAAATAAGAAGTAAACAATGGATCAGTTAATTAGTACTTTACAGTTCACTATTATTGATAATACAACATGTTTATTTACTACAGATATGCTGGACACTTTAATTATACATTTGAATACGTTGCTTCTTTCATAAATGAGAAACAAAATATGATATTGTAAGCAATAACATCACAAGATAAAAGGCCTATAATACTTGAGTTTACCGTCTGGCTTAGAAAAATAAACAAAGAATGTGTTCTGTGTTGTGTTTAGTTTAGTGTTTGTGTTTAGTAATCATTAGGACTCGCAAGTTGCATCAGTCCGCGATACATAAAAAAATACCTTCCCTTCGAGAATTAATTACGTTTTATAAAAATAAATATTGTTAACAAATTTTTTCTACGTTTTATTCAATATTATTATTTTTATTTTGTTTTCGTGGTAAATAAGTTTATCACACACGCAATAACACAACCACGGAACATATCTATTAACGTAGTTTTCAGATCCCAACTAAATTTTTAATACGGCATCTACGCATTTGTGATACCCGTGATTAAGTACCTCGCCTGTCTCTCTTAGAATGATTTCTTTTCTATTTCCGCGCAGCTGACCCGCCAGCTCTCACTTGTCGGATAATAACACCCAAAGATCTAGTTTTGTAATTTCTTCTTCAGTTTATAAAAAGAAACTAGAGGAAAAGGAACTCAAAAAAATCTTTATTTCAGCAGAAACCTAGTATTTTAGAGGACTTAAAAGTAAACAAGCTTTTAAATAAAGATGATTTACGTCCCATGAAAAAAATATGGAAATAGGTCAATTCCAAAAGCACTTTAGAAATCTGTTAGTATTAGGATTTGATCCTTCAGAACTCTGCTCATCACATAAAAATAATATTTTTATGAATAAGGGTATATGCTTTACATGGACTGAAAATTTTTCCCTAATTAGGTTTGGAGTTAAATGCCAGAAGTGTTCCAGAACATTTCACAAGTGATGTCTTGAAAAATATGATTTATAGAAAGAATATTTTGTTCGTAAAACTTGTTTTAAACAACTTGTATAAAAATATTGTTTTTTTTTTAAATTTGTTTTTAAAAAATATATAAATAAATGACACTTTGTTTGTAAGTCAGTACTTACTGTTTTAGTTTTACTTTCAATGCTCAATCAATATTTTGATATAAAAATTATGCCAATTACTGGATGCCAATGATTAAGTACACTGCTAATTACTACATGCCAATAACTAGAATATAACTGTCAATAATTAGGAAATGTGTATAATGTCTAAATCAACCTATTTTTGCATTATTTTCCTCAATATTTATTTTAAAATGACATTTAAGTCGTGTTCAGTAAGAATAGTAAATTATAAAAAAATTCAAAATATCCCTCTATGATGTTACCTATATTAGCAAATCTAATGTTTAAATAACAATTTTCCTTAATATTGTTCTGAATCTATTTTCTTGTGGCATTTTAAATTAATTACTATTTAACTGGGAATAAGCCACAATTAAAGATAAAAATACGTTTATTGACGTTTCAATTTCCATTTCGGAAACCCTTTTCTTCAACAATCTACTACCAATTTTTCTAATACAGTTTTTTCTGAAATACTTAAATAAGTATTTGGACCATGTGCCACTTTTTTAAATTTTTCGCTTAGTCTAAATTGCAGAGTAAATGACGGGCACCTTTAAAGGAAATCGTTCTCAAAATACAAACAGTAAATTAAACAATTTTTTTTTTCTGACTTCGATTTCCGAAGTGGAAATTGAAACTTCAATAAACGTATTTTTATCTTTAATTGTGGCTTATTTCCAGTTAAATAGTAATTAACAATTTTCCTTAAAGTGACAATAACTAGGTGGTGTACCCTAATGGGGATAAAAATGTTCTTATATTAGCAACATAGCTAAAAAAAGTAAACAACTTGTACATTAATAAACACATTAAACTTGAGCATTAATATCTAAAGGGAAAATTATTTTCAAAGAGAACTAAAAGTTTATGATTATGGTTTATTTTAGATGATTACCCATTATTTCTCAGTAATTTCTTTCACTAATTGCTATATAATATAATTTAGACATTAGAAATGTAGTCTTTCTTATAATATTAATAATATTAGAAAAGAAAAGGTTGCTTAATTGTTATTATTTCCTTTGCATTATTTATGAGAATATAGGATGGCACATATATATATATATATATATATATATATATATATATATATATATATACATATATATATATATATATATATATATATATATATATATATATATATATATAATATATATATATATATATATATATATATATATATATATATAATATGTTCGTTACAAAATAATAAAGGTTAGCTTTGTTTTAAACTTTTCAGTTTAAATTTTTCTTTGTCTGAGTTCGTTTCCTTACGAGGGGT